CCTTCGACTGAACACATTTCCAAGCATTTTCCAAATGTATATTTAGTTGTGTGCATTTTTAAAATTTAACTTGTAAACCGGTTCCGTGTCAAAGTTGCACTGGCCATGTGACCACGGAAGATTGTCTTTGGACAAACGCTGGCTCTATGGCTTGGAAACGGGGATGAGCACCGCCCCCTAGAGTTGAACACGACTGGACAAAAAAATTGTCAAGGGGAACCTTTACCTTTTACCTATATTTAAAATACTTGATGGTTGTATGTATATCTTCTTTTCCACAATGTTTTGCAAACACTTCCTGACAGAAGATGCATCCCATTCTGTTGGCCATCTCAGAAAGCGCAGTAAAGGTATTCTTGTACAGAACTGTGAATCCAGCAAATTTCTTTCCCATGAGACGTTAAATAAGTTTGGATACTAATTTTAAAAAAAGCTCTGTGGCAAGTCTAATTTTAGTTGCAGTACCCTCTTCACGGAAGATTGTCTTCTGACAAAACGCTGGCTCTATGGCTTGGAAATGGGGATGAGCACCGCCTCCTAGAGTCGAACACGACTGGACAAAAATTGTCAAGGGGAACCTTCACCTTTTTACCCTCTTCACAATATCCCACATGCATCATGTTGGGCAGGCAAAAACCTGTTTGACAATGCCTAACCTCTAAAATAGCTGCAGCCTGATTTAGCCAACGTTCTCCTAAGCGTTTCGAGACAAAAATCAGAAGGCTGGGTTGTGAAGTCAAATAAATTCATAGCTTGTGATGAATATGATAGTCAGTGAACATTGGGCTCCCTTTCACCAGACTCACTGCATCTATAGGCACTGAAGAAGCTTTGCAAAATGTTTATTGAAAACTGCCAAATGTCAAATGTGTATTTGCAAACACATGGAGATTCGTCACATCCAACTGCCATAGACACTTTGTGGTCAACTTGAGGGTCATTTATTTCCTTGTCATGTGAGATAAGGAGAGGGTCTCTTTGTTGTGTAATGAAATAGAAAACGATTTGGTCTTTTGTTGTTTTCCTCACTGGTACAGACTGTTTGTACTTTGAGCCTAAGTAAGACAAATACCTCAGGTGGCACATGCTATGGCTGGGTGGTGGTGATCCTGTAGATCCTGAGTCCTTTGGTCTCCAGCCTGTCCTGCACCCACTAAACTGCCTGCTGCTCTTGGGCATAACAAAGGACACTGACCCCTTGCCCAAAAGTAAGGTTCAATTTCTCATTCGCTTTCCTTGTATTAAACGACTAAACACACACACACAAGGTTCAGTTTCTCATTCGCTTTCCTTATACGTGTGGAATGAAGGGGGCATCTTGTCGTTTGTAAAATGTCAAAATACAACAAGGTCCTATTGAGACTGAGAGCAACAGAGATGAAACACAGAAAAGGAATGTAGGCATATTCCTGTGAAGATACACAATATCTGAGACTATGAAACGGCTATAAATAAAACCAGACCAAACAGAGATACTCTGGGATAATGATATATTAGAAATTCTGTTTACAGAATGGTAGCTAAGGAACAGGTTGCCTTTGAATGTTTAAATTTAAATTATCCTGGTGGACTTCTAAGGTAAGGGTGCTTTCTAGAAGAGCAATAGGAAATGTGTGATCTTTATTATAGCAACTGGAATAACATTTTGGAGCCATGCTTCTTTGTTGCGCAGTGTTGCTCTCCTTTATATCAGGGCTGGGGAACCTGTGGTACCTCCCTTTGGAAACCTCCAGAGATTACTGTATCTGAAGTCCCAGCAGGCTCACTCAGCCTAGTCAATGGCAAAGCATGATGGGACTAATAGTTTGGGAACACCCAAAGGGCATTTTTCATACAAAAGAATAGATGAAACAGTCTATTTCTGGTCTGTGTCAAATTTGCATGTGTTCCTTCATAAATCTGTGTTCTATCTATGCCTTGGCTTGCGATTCATATTTCCACAGCAACTTTCATATCTACTGCAAAGTCTAAGTATGATTTCTTCTTTTTACTCCTTCAGGTGCTAAACCAGACATCCCGGCTAGAAATTCAGCTACTGGAAAATTCATTGTCTACCTATAAGCTGGAGAAACAACTGCTGCAGCAGACACATGAGATCTTGAAGATCCATGAGAAAAACAGGTGAGTGCAAAATGCTTGGATGATTACTCACTACAACTAGATACTCATGACTATACCTCTCTTCTTGGAAATCCCTTTTAAAAAAAGACTCTCAGAATAACTTGGTTGGTGTGGAAACATGGTGAAAAGGAGCTCATATTCTTGTTCCTCACATGGCAGCTGCCTGCACATCTGAGTGCTGTGTTACTTAAGGGGAGGATCAGGCATTTTGAAGCAGAGTCCTAACCAAACAAAAAGGTCGAGGGCAGCTGATCTGGTAGTAGACCAAGAGTATAATGAAGTTGAGTTGAACTAAAATCCTTCCCAGCCTGGGAAATTACTGAGAACTACCCTCAGTTTGCCCTAATTTCACTTGCTATAGTCCCTTGGTTGAAGGAGATTTGAATCTGTATTATGTACAACAGAAGACTGTAGGAGATCGTATACAATGTGGGAGAATGAGTATAAAAATGTGCATGATGAAAAAAATGCCCACAGAATGTGTTCATTGAGAGGTGAAAAGACAAATGCTCGTGAAAATTCATTCAGTTTCAGGGAAGGGAACAACCTTGTGATCCAGTGTAGACCCTATGTGGAATGAGTTTTGAATTCAAAACTGAAGAACCTTGACAAGTTTGAGCTAATTTCCGAATTCCTAGTTGTAAAATATGTTGCCTTCAGTTTTTAAATGAAGTATTGGGGTTTGATGTGTTTCTTTTAAAAAAATATTTAAGAAGGTTTGTAAATGTGAAGAATATCCTCTTTATCTGCAGGTTATCCCATTTGACTGTCCTGTAGTTGGCAGAGGGCTACCAAACTGTATATTAGAAGTGACAAAATTTGGCTCATTTGTGAATGTTGGATGTATGATTAAACAAAACACTGTCTAAAGTGGCAGGACTGTTCTTATTATCTTAAGAAATAGATTGTTAAAGGGAAAGTGTAGAATGAAATTAGATATTTTTATGCATCCCATATTCATCCAAATGACTCACTCAGACTCTTTTGGATTGCTTTTATATTGTTGTTGTTTTAAATCACTTCATGTTCATTTCCCAGAGAACTGATCCATTTCTCACTTGCTGGCAAAACACATACAATAGCCTCAGAGGAAGAAGCTCCACACTTAACAAACAGTGAGCTGAATTCAGCTTTGTGTGTATGGAGCCATCATTCCCATGATGAGCATTTCATTTTATAGAACCTTTTGTTCCATTGATTGTTCTTCAGAGTTAAGAAGGCAGTCTCATACAGAGAGATCACATGCTACAGAATGACTCGTTTATTAGGTTACAATCAACGTACAGTTAAGCTAGTCATTTCTATGCATTGCCGGCCCTACCATGAGGCAGTGAAGGGACTGTCTCAAGAGGCAGACACTGGGTGATAGTGGCAGCAGCCTCTCGGTTGTTTCTTTTAGATATTCCAAATGCTGTCCTCTGTTAAAAGACTAAGCTCTGTGCGCCATAACACCCAATCAGGGCCCACACTCTCTCAGATACGAAGAAGATTTATTTTTCATAACAAGCTGTGATACAGATTCTAACTGCTGGCGCACCCAGCGTTTGCATATGGAGAGGAGCATTAGCAAAATATTTCAACCCCGCTGTGCTTGTAAGTAGGCTTAGAGTCACTCCATAAGGCACTGCAGCAGCATAAGAGCCACTTAATTCACCCTAGCAGAGACCTACATTTTTGCATGTCTTGTTCTCATACAAAGGCACAAAGATTTATTTTTCTGGTTTTGATGAGAGTTCTCAAATTTACAGGAACAATTTTGCACAAATTGCACAAAATTGTAATAGCAGAATCACACATGGGGGATGGCGCTGTGTGTGTGAAGGATGGAACTCCACCCAGTGGGGCTGAAAATTAGGAAGAATGCTGCTCTGAGACCTTAGTAGTAGTAAGAATAAAAGGTTTCATTACTTACAATGAAGAGATAACAGCAAGCTAAAAACTTGACAAACAACCAGCCTCAACAGGCTAACTGCTCCTAACAGACAAGCAGGAGGGAAAAATCTCAGAGCAGGGAGGCAGGGCTCTCTTTAAATGCAGAGGCAGGGAAACAAGCAGGAGGGAAAAATCTCAGAGCAGGAAGGCAGGGATCTCTTTAAATGCAGAGGCAGGGAAGGAACTACAGTGGTGCCTCACAAGACGAATGCCTCACTGGACGAAAAATTCACAAGACGAAAGCATTTTGTGATTGTTGTGGTGACTCGCAAGATGGTTTTTTCTATGGCCGTGGCTCACAAGACAAAAATAATTTGGTGGTGACTTGCAAGATGGCTTTTTCTATGGCCGTGGCTCGCAAGACAAAAATAATTCATTCATCTTGCAAGGTTTCACATAGGAATGCATTTTGCAAGACGAAAATTTTGCAATACTTTCGTCTTGCAGGGCACAACTGTATTGGTTAGTACTATTAGTGACTGATAGTCACCCCAGTCCAGAAAAGTCCCTGCCAGCCACACCTACTAGAGAGAGTGTGCAAGGATGTAAAAACTCCAACAAAAGCATGGTCAGAAGCATTCCAGAATAATTCTTTACGCCAACTTCCTGTAACTTCTTTTTCTTGAGAAAAGGGGGAAAGCAAGCAATCCCAAACAAGCAAGCTGAAATATATTCCTAGAAAAGAAGCCTTCTGAGAATTTTTGATCCAGATGAAGTAATCCCACAATCACACACATGTGGTGAAAATGGCAGAGGCTCTTTCCACATAGCTGTTTTTCGAATGGGAGGCAGGCCAGTCATGAAATTGAAAGGACCATTCCAGTGGCCTCTGTCCACAATTGTTCCAAAGCACTTGATTCCTGGATGTAAATAAGCTATGGGAAAGTCTTCCAGCACTGCGGTAATTATTGGGTATGTGTGCTTATGATATATATATATGAATACAAGCTTTATGGGAAGGAAGAAAAGAGAGCTGAAATAAGATCTAAAAACTAGAAGCCATTTAGTTAATGTGTTCTATCAAGTTTCGTTCCCATATTATTGAATTACCTGTGAGAACATTACAAAGCTTTAGTGTCAATAGGAATGTGTGTGGCTTTTTAACCCACTGACCTGCTGATTGTATTATTGACCTACCAATTATCGGCTTAGGCATAACTATTTGTTTACAGTGTGCAGGAGGCAAGAGATTCACATGGCTGATAACTTGTGCCTTTAATATTTTAACTGCTTTATGTACCTTAACAATGTGTCACAGTGTTAAGAAATGTGTGGTAGTAAATAAACATGGCCTGCCTTGACCTATCAGCCAGCTACATTGACGTACATATTGATGTAGCCGGTAGTATGATGAAGTAGCCTCACTTTATATGTGGAAGCAAGGGATGTGTTAAAAAAAATAAAATTACGTTTGTGTACTGCAGTTAAGGAGAAAGACAGAGGCAGTCTGATGAAGAGAGCAAGAGGATGCACGCTTCATTAAGAAAAATAGCTAGAAAAATGTGGGCTAAAAAGATTATCCTTTCTCATTTTAGACCTCATAAACTAGAACATGTGGTTTTTAATGTCATTACTAATCAGGATGGTATTTTTATTAAGCCATTGAACTTGGAAAATGGGATCAAAATATTCAATTTTCCACACTCTTTCCTATTAAGTATATACATAGCAACCTAGACCCACAGCAGATTCTACTGGAGTATTTGGATGGTAATCAACTTAATCAATCCTCCCTAGGGATTCTTATAACATTGTTTACATCCAAACTGCTACCCAAATGTTTTGATTCCAAATTGTGTGATCCTAGAATGGCACTACCCAGAAGCAGCCTAGCGTACTTCCTTAAAACACAAACTGTTCAGAACATTGTAAAGGCAGAATTTGACGTACATTTTAATTAAGGTGCTTTCTCTCATAATTTGCTCCTTGACTAGGCTATCTTTTATTGCTGGTATATATATCCTTTAATGATACAATGGTAATCTCAAGATTAAACTACTGCAATGCTCTCTACATGGGGCTGCCCATGAGGCTGTCACAGAAACTTCAACAAAATACAGTGGCTAGATTACTGAGTGAAGTGAATAAATGCCATCATATCACCCCAATTCTGGCTGCCTTACACTGGTTACCTGTCTATTTCCATGCCAGCTTTAAGGTGATGGTTCTAACCAGTGGTGGCGAACCTTTTTGTGCTCGTGTGTCCAAAATGGTGGAGGGAGAACAGTTGGTGGCGTGCCGCCACCGCAATAGTGGCAGCAATGGACCCGGAAGACTGGAACCAGAAGTGGTGGTTTAAGGGGGAACCATGCCGATGGACCCGGAGGACCCAGATGTGGTGGTGGAAGGGGGGATCCTGGATTGTGGTCTACTAATTAATAAGCACTGGCTAACTAGATAGCTCAGTGTTTTAGATATCTGTTGGTGGAGCCAGAGGTTGGGAATTAACAATTATCGTTGTTGCCAATTAGAAGACCACTATTGTTAATAATTAACAATAGTGGTCTTCTAATTAGCAACAATGATAATTGTTAATTAACAATAGTAGTAACTGCCTGCAAGTAATTATTAACAATAGTGGTCTACATTCTTTTCTCAAATACATCTGAACTTTTCAAGTTTAAAATCCTCTCTTCATTTTTCAGAAGAGGTCTGGATTCGATTAGCAGAGCTACCCTGTACCTTGCAAAGGAAATTAGCTGAACCAAACATTCCCTTCCCCCAAGGGAGCATCATCAATTCCGGCTCCACGCTCTACTTCATCACCTTTTACACAGTAGCTACAATTGGGAATCTTCATATTGGCCTTTCTGCTGTCTGCCTAACCTCTCTCAACAGTGAATTTTATGAGTGGGGGGGTTATATACACTTTTCTACTGATCTACCCTGCTGGTTCACATCCTGACAAATTTAATGCATCATTTCTAGAGTGGAAAATTGATTTCATGCCTCATTAAGGTCAATAGACTAGACAACATTATACAAGATGGTAACATTTGAGACAAATGCCCATTCCTGAGAGAGGGAGAGAAATAATTCAAGCTGGTTGAGTGGGGGGGTTATATACA